ATTCATCATAATAGAAGCATTCCAGTTCCCAGACTTGTACGTATGACTTCACAAATGCCCATCCCTCCTGCCACTGCACCTATATCTTGAGTCCTTAAAACTACTTCCCAAACTTTACTTCCTTCAACGAATCCTTTTAGCCCTCATTTCATCTGACCTGTTTGTCAGCTCCTCTCATTTGTATGTTCTGGAGACATTTACTCTCGAGCACTGAGCAATATATAAATAAGTATTACCAGCAAAGTCCCCCAGCATCTAATTCATTCTCCTACCTATAGTTTCTGGATGAAATCACCGAGTCCCTGTGTTTCTTCGTTTTATTCCCATTGCTCACATTATGCATTGCATATGATAGGTGCTTCCTCAGTGCTATTCACATTACTACCATATTCTAAGAGAAGGATAAGATTTAATAAGAAAAATTAGCTTCACTTTTTAATTTGATTCTCCTCAGTAGAGCTCCTGAGAGAAGCCATAGGCCCCCTTGCATCTTCAGAGGCGCTCTATAAATGCTGGCAGGGTGCTGTGTGCCTACGAAAACAACAGAGTTGATTCTCTCCTTTTGAAATTGTGACTCCCACCCTCCTCCCCTTCCTCTAAATGTTTCCTTCTAAAGAAAAGCCATGGTTCACTGCTACTAAAAATTAAGGGTAGCAGCGTAAAGAACAAGGCCCATGCTGGCGCAAGCGATGACAGAACATTAAAATTGCCACTTGAATTTCTCTTGCTTGAACACTTCCCAAGACAGGTAATGGAAAGTCCACCCCCAGAATGCATGCCCATTTCAGACTTTTTTCACTTGCACCTCTTGGTTCACAAACTATTTTGACTAAAACGAACCAACTGGAGGTGGCCGTCAGTTGAGATAAAATGTCAGAGGCAAGACATATCCAAAAAAGAAATTGTATGTGACCATCCCCCACCTCCCCTACCCCAACACAAAGTACCAAGAAAAAGCAGAAGGGGTTATTATGCAAAGGTTAATTAGTAAGTTTTAGAAGAGGAGGAATTAATCACACTGCCTCTTCCAAGCTCTAAGTCTGGGCTCTCCAGCTGTACCAAGCCTGCTCTTCTACCTCCTCTTAGTTCCAGATTATGCTTTGACAATCAGATTCACAGTTCATGTACCTCAAAGTTCCTTTCCATTTGCCAAATCCACATTTTCAAGATTCTTATCCTTTCTTACCCCAGTCACCCATCACATGCTGGCCTGATGGCTTGGGGTAGTTTTCCTGATGCCCAGCTACTATGGAAGCTCAGCAAGATAGGCTCAAGCTCCTACCCTGTACGAATATGAAAAATGGGAACGGTGGTCTCAGAGCTTATAAGGTATCTTTCATCAGCATCTAACACTAAAGGGGAAACGTTTGTGGATAGAAACCTGTTGTTAGCCCCAAAGAAGAGCTTAATCAAGTATACACAACAGCCACAACATGACCTGAATCAGATGTTCTCACAAGACAGGTGAAAAAAAAAAGAAAGAAAGATCAAACATAAGAAAAAACAGAACTGTAGGTGAGTTCTTTTCTCTTCTTCTCTTCTTTTTTAATTTTTTTTGTGTGTTGGGCCCTAAGAAGCATGAAACCAAAACTTGTGAAAAGCAGCCATATCAGCTTGCTGTGGTGACTCAAAAGTTGTCATTTCTCTACTCAACTTTGCTGAAACACTTGATTCATGTTGTTCTTATTTAACCTAATTTGCATTGATTTAATCAGTGCTGGTATGCTTTAAATACATAATAAATTGGGATTCTGCAACTTAGATGGCTTAGAATAACTAGATTTCAATAGAGCTCATTTCAATCTGTTAATGTATACAGTTCTGCCAAGGAGTTTAAAACGGTAGAAAAGATGCAAACTTGCCACATTACAGGTGGGAAACATTTAAAGATATCATGCAGAAATAATCTGCAGGAAAATAATTTGAAAAGATATTTATATCTTAATTAGAGCCTAAACCCATCCTCTATGTTTTGAGTAGCATACTTAGGAGAAAAACCTCACATAATAATGCAGTTAATTTAATTTTATTCTCTTTCCTTCTTGCCAACACTCAACTCTTTTCCGCCTCCCTGTACCAGCTCTACAAATCAAGTGACATCCAAGTGGGGCCTCTTCTTGCCCATTTGGCAGGCTCCATCACCACTTTGCCAAGCTGCCTACATTGGGAGGATATTCTCCCTAGCAGACATGGGGATTGGGTGGCTTGCACTCAGAGTACTTGCTGAAAGGTTGGCCAATGTTTAACCCGGCCTGCCCTCCTCTCCAACCCTTTAGAGTTTATGGCTCAATCAGCCGGCCTGCTGTCAGGAATAATTGTCTTGGCAAGAGGTGAAAACATTTGACGGTGGAACTGTTTTTCTGTTAAAGTGTTCCGCAGCAACACGGAGGTGCCAGGACAAACCCTGCAGGTACCCAGTCCAGAGGTAGGTAGGAGGCAAGAGTGATGGAGATGACAACCATCAAAAATGGCAAAGAAAGAAGACCACGCTGGTGTGGGACAGCCACAAATCCACCAGTACCAGTAACAAGCTGTGTGACCTTGGATAATCATCTGATGTCTCTGTGCCTCAGTTTCATCATATTCAAAATGAAGGGTCTGATTTTCTAATGTGTTTTCTAGCTCCTAAGACAGCATGAGACTTCTAGGACATTTCAGGTTTGTTTTCCTTCCAATGAAATGATGCATTTCAGAGATGAATGATCAGGGCAGATCTCTAAATACAGAATGGAATGATTCATGCCCCTGTTCATAGTATTTTCCTGAAAAGTACCACCAGTCTTTGGTGACTGTGATTCCACTGGTCAGTATCCTCAGTTTGGATGCTAAAGAGCAACCCAGTTACTTGCTGGAAGTTGATGCAACCTGGGAGCTTTGGTAATCCAGTTCATTCTTATTAAAGTGAGCACCGCTACATAAAATGCCCACTTATTTTCAGTTCCTGAGAGACACTTATGATAGGGATTCGAAGAGAGGAGCTGGCAATTCACATTTGAGTCTCTCCATCACCTCCCTGGGTATCGGTGTCAAGAAAGGGGGCTTGCCCACACTCACTTCCAGCAGAGCTTCTCTGCCAACTCCTGAAGATTTTTTTTTTTAAACAGGTGGCCAACAGGTCCCTCAAAATAGCAATGCATACCCTAGAGCAAGACTTCATTATAAGAACCCCATCTATTAACGACTATAAATGAAAATAATCTGGCAGAGACTTCTCTTCACAGTTAGGGGACACAATTTAGTAACAGTCTCAACATTTAATTAGCGATGTAAGTATGGGGGAGGGTAGGCATTGTTTTGGTTTAAATTACCCCTTCTCCGCTAAGTCTCCCGCACAGTCCCCTGGAATGGGGTGTACTGCAGGGCGCTGTAATCACCATGAGCAGCCTGCCAGGCACAGCCCTCCCGGTGCGGTGCCATACAGACAGCAGAATCCTTTTTAATCCACCACAGACCCCACAGTTATCTGTGGAGACTGTGGAAGCCCCAGTGGCTCTCAGGCAACGCTCCCGGTAAACAGACCTACGTTTCTGCCACTCTGGGTCACATAGCACCTGGATCTGGAGGGCTTTGCCAAACCCGTGGAAACCAGTCCTCTGTCCGCCACCTAAAGAGCTGACTGATTGCAGAACTCCAGAGTCCATGGGGAAAAATATCTTAGCCAAGTCCACGCAATCACTGCTTTTCCTCTTTCTTTTCTCAAGTTGCTTTTCTAAAGCGAAGGACCAAATGTTGATTTCTCTACATATCCCTGCGTATCCCTTACACGTAGACAGCTTTAAAGTGGGAGGGAGACCATCCCAAAAAGGGAAGGGGGAGAGAACAGAATAGTTCAGTTTCCCACTTGGAAATATCTTGCTGTTGAAGATGCTACCCCATACCTCCATCCCGCTCACTCCCATCCCCACCCCCCTTTTTAAAATATAGGCAAAAAGGCTGGAAGTGTTTTTCATTTCATCAAAGAACATATACTACTTTAATGGTTCGGTAAAATGTTGGTTTTATGCCACCCCTTTTCAATCTGCCCACGTCTGAGGTGCTCCGGGAAGACGCACAATTGTGAGCAGCTTACGACACTCAGTGAGCAGTAGGTGCCTGTGCAAGCTCGCGCCGCACACCGCCTGGCGGAGGGAAGGAGCCTGGGCGCCGCTCCCCGCGCCCCGCGCCGCCGCCCGCGCCGCCTCCGCCCGCGCCTCCCCGCTGCCCGCGGTCCGCAAAGCATGAGCGAGCCCGCTCTCCGCAGCCGCCCCGGGCGCGAATGGCAGGCTGTCTCCGTGGACTGAAAGGTAGCGCCGGTCAATGGTCCTTTCCAATGACGGACATTAACCAGACTGTCAAATCCTGGGGAGTCGCGAGCCCCGAGTTTGGAGTTTTTTTCCCCCACCACGTCACAGTTCGAACTGCAGAGGGAAAGGACAGCGGCAGGAAGGCGAAGACCGGCACGTAGTTGGGAAACTTGCGGGTCCTAGAAGTCGCCTACCCGCGTCGCCAGCCGCCCTTGCAGCCCCGAGCCGAGCAGCAAAGTGAGACATTGTGCGCCTGCCAGATCCGCTGGCCGCGGACCGGGGCTGCCTCGGAAACACAGAGGGGTCTTCTCTCGCCCTGCATATAATTAGCCTGCACACAAAGGGAGCAGCTGAATGGAGGTTGTCACTCTCTGGAAAAGGGTGGGTAAGACACTTTTTAATTAAATTCTTTCCCGAAGATTTTTTTTTTTTCCCTCCCTTTTCTTTGCTGCAGCACCTAACATGGACCAAATCACCATCTCTTTGATCTTTCCGTGGCTGTGAACTTTCTATGCTGCCCAGCTTTCTGCATGCTTAGAGGTGAACGTGTGGCTTTGGGGAGGGGGGGGTTCCTTCTTTATTTTAATATATTTATTTGATTTTTGCCCTTTTCTCCCCCTCCCCCGCTTCCTCTCCCTCGGAATAAAATATGATGTAGATTTCTGACCGAGCGCTTCCAATGGACATTCTCCAGCCTCTCTGGAAAGATTCTCGCTAATGGATTTCCTGCTGCTCGGTCTCTGTCTATACTGGATGCTGAGGAGGCCCTCGGGGGTGGTCTTGTGTCTGCTGGGGGCCTGCTTTCAGATGCTGCCCGCCGCCCCCAGCGGGTGCCCGCAGCTGTGCCGGTGCGAGGGGCGGCTGCTGTACTGCGAGGCGCTCAACCTCACCGAGGCGCCCCACAACCTGTCCGGCCTGCTGGGCTTGTCCCTGCGCTACAACAGTCTCTCGGAGCTGCGCGCCGGCCAGTTCACGGGGTTAATGCAGCTCACGTGGCTCTATCTGGATCACAATCACATTTGCTCGGTGCAGGGGGACGCCTTTCAGAAACTGCGCCGAGTTAAGGAACTCACACTGAGTTCCAACCAGATTACCCAGCTGGCCAACACCACCTTCCGGCCCATGCCCAACCTGCGCAGCGTGGACCTCTCGTACAACAAGCTGCAGGCGCTGGCGCCCGACCTCTTCCACGGGCTGCGGAAGCTCACCACGTTGCACATGCGAGCCAACGCCATCCAATTCGTGCCGGTGCGCATCTTCCAGGACTGCCGCAGCCTCAAGTTTCTTGACATCGGATACAATCAGCTCAAGAGTCTGGCGCGCAACTCTTTCGCCGGCTTGTTCAAGCTCACCGAGCTGCACCTGGAGCACAACGACTTGGTCAAGGTGAACTTCGCCCACTTCCCGCGCCTCATCTCCCTGCACTCGCTCTGCCTGAGGAGGAATAAAGTGGCCATTGTGGTTAGCTCGCTGGACTGGGTCTGGAACCTGGAGAAAATGGACCTGTCGGGCAACGAGATCGAGTACATGGAGCCCCATGTGTTCGAGACTGTGCCTCACCTGCAGTCCCTGCAGCTGGACTCCAACCGCCTCACCTACATCGAGCCCCGGATCCTCAACTCCTGGAAGTCGCTAACGAGCATCACCCTGGCGGGGAACCTATGGGACTGCGGGCGCAACGTGTGCGCCCTGGCCTCATGGCTCAGCAACTTCCAGGGGCGCTACGACGGTAACTTGCAGTGCGCCAGCCCCGAGTACGCGCAGGGCGAGGACGTCCTGGACGCCGTGTACGCCTTCCACCTGTGCGAGGAGGGAGCTGAGCCCACCAGCGACCACCTGCTCTCTGCTGTCACCAACCGCAGTGACCTGGGCCCCCCTGCCAGCCCGGCCACCACGCTCACTGACGGCAGGGAGGGGCAGCTCGACGGCACGCCGGAGCCGGCTACTGTGGCTCTCCCTGGCGGTGAACACGCCGAGAACGCCGTGCAGATCCACAAGGTGGTCACAGGCACCATGGCTCTCATTTTCTCCTTCCTCATCGTGGTCCTGGTGCTCTATGTCTCTTGGAAGTGTTTCCCTGCTAGCCTCAGGCAGCTCAGACAGTGCTTTGTCACGCAGCGCAGGAAGCAAAAGCAGAAACAGACCATGCATCAGATGGCTGCCATGTCTGCCCAGGAATACTACGTTGATTACAAACCCAACCATATTGAGGGAGCCCTGGTGATCATCAATGAGTATGGCTCGTGTACCTGCCACCAGCAGCCCGCGAGGGAATGCGAGGTGTGATCATCCCAGTGGCTCTCAACCCGTGCGCTACCAAATACGCCTGGGCAGCCGGGGCAGGCCGGCGAGCGCCAGGCTGGGGTCTCCTTGTCTTTGCTCCGATAACGCTCCTTGAATGAAACTGTAAGGGGATCGCTCCCAGAGACTTGACATTTTGGCTTTATTGTGTCTTAAAAAACAAAAACGAAATAAAACAACAAAAATCCACCCCACAACCTTCAGGACAGTCTATCTTAAATTTCATATGAGAACTCCTTCCTCCCTTTGAAGATCTGTCCATATTCAGGAATCTGAGAGTGTAAAAAGGTACCAAGCATTGATTTTTTTTTTTTTTTTTTTGTAAACTAAAATGTTTAAAATAAAATAGCATTTACAGTTTTTACAGACTGGAGTAATCTAAATGAATTGTTGTTACCTGTGTTAAAAGAGAAGCAACAGTTAAAATTTCCTTCCCGCTGTGTGTGTGTGAGGGGGTGGTGGAGGGGTGGAGGCAGGAGGAGCAGGGTGGCTGGTAGCCAGAAGGAAGATTCATAAATTCAGGAGCAAAGTAGTCAGACTTCGATCTGAAATATTAAGAAAGACAAACGGAACTTACCAGGTTGATTTTCTCCACATGACTAAGGACTGAAAAAAGCTAGACCTTTCATATTATTTTTAGGGGGTGTGATGCATTCTAACCATTTGAAAGCAAATGAAAGGTGGACTGAGCATCACTACTCAGTCTTTAAAGCAGTGAGAACTGCAAATGGCTTTTAAAAGGCAGTGCCAGACAGTTTGTCCTATTAACAAGAAACACTTCTTTTGAGCTTAATATATCAATCTTTCAAACCAATTCAGACTATCACCCCCAAATGCCACTGGTTCATAATTTTCCTATGCCTTTTAGTCACGGGACTTAGTAACATTTGTGTCCTTTTCCCTGCTCTTCCCTGAAAGAGAAACCCTCAGTTCCTGTTCTCTATGGTCTCACTGAGGGGAATCAGACAGAATTCAAATGTTTGGTGATGAAAGCTGTGCTTTCTGGAGCACATTGCTATGATTGCACCAAGCTTAGGTTCTCAGCAGTGATAACACACGCCTAGTTACCATGGGGAATAGTCAGAAAAATCCTGCCTCACGATGAATGCCTACTGGGTAATGCCTTGTAGCAGGAGACTTTAGGGGCAGATGTGATGCAGAAGTGGTATGTGTGGGGTAGGGTGGAGTGGGGAAGGTCCTCATCTGACCCTGTGTTTGATCGAATGCCTTACTGAGACGGGATCAATTTGTTAATCCAGGACAAAAGCTGCCTCTTAGATTGCCTTTCTGTGTAATGCTTGCTTTTCCTGTGTTGTTTTACTTTTTTTCTGTGTTGGGATCAATGACTTCCCCTTCCTACCCTTCATAGGTAGGTTTCCAGGTTCACTGTTGAGATTTAGGTTGTTTGTTCAAGAGTAGTATCACTTGGTGGGTGCAGAGAAGGGGGGAGGAGGAGTGTGTGTGTTGGATGGGAGGGGTCTTTCCCTCTCTAACAATGTAAGCAAATGTATGATTGAAATAAACTGTCATGGATGGCAAATGGTGAACACTGAACCAATGTTGTCCATGTCCAAAAGTCTTTCTCAAACTGAGGTGGCTCACCCTTCTGAATGATCCTACAGAGTGGCATTTTCTTTTTCTTTTTCGTTTTTTGAGAAGTCCAAATAGCAGGGAGAGGATTGGAGAAACCTACACCACCATTGCCCAAAATGCAAATGCCACCAACCACCCAACTAAAGAGGATCAGCTGTTTGAAATGCAGAATGGCATCCTCAGGAGATTTACTTAAGCTGAGGTTTGGTAGCAGATTTCTCTTCTACCTAAGGAGAAACCGATATGCCTAACAATACTGCTTCTAAGAGGTCCTTTCAAGGGAAATATTTAAAAAATATCTCCAAGATGTTAAGCTTTGGGAGACAGCCCCAGCCCCCCTCCCCAACACACAAGCTTAGGAAACTGCTTCTTGCTCTGTTTATAATTAAAACATGACATTATGACACATACCATGAACCTAACACCCATTTAGACTGGTAATGTTCTCCAAGACAGGTGACTTGTTTGAGAACTTTGAGGGGGGGGGTTTGGGTTTGATCTATGCACCATCATCTGGGGCCGCTGTTTTAAATAGCATATCGCTGGGATGGCAGAGGTGGCAGGGACAAGGATCTCTTGGGGATGTGTCTCAAATCTAAAATTAAACCCCACTAAAGAGGCCTCTCCAGAAGACAACATACATTTTCAGGAGGAAAAAAAATCCCCAAATTGTGGCAATTGAAAGAAGTCTGGGATCCCATTGATTTAATCTCCTCATATAGGAAAGCTACTGGAATCCAGTGCCAAAAGCTGCTCTGACTTGGTGCATTAAGGGCTGAGCTGGTCTGCTTATAGGGAAAGCTTCCAGAGGCAAAGCCCTTCTGGCAAACATCAGAACCAAAAGTCCCCCTGCCCACTAGAAATAAGGATATTGGAAACTGCAGAGTTTATCTCCTATCCCCAAGGTATTTGTTGTTGTTGTTTTTTTCCCCTTTCATTCTTCTCCTTCTTCTTTTTCTATGTGGCCATGAGAAACAAGTAAGAAAATAATCGTGCTTTGTTTTCTTCTGCTGCTCCCCACCATATGACTAGTTTGCCATGTATGTAGAAGATCTGAAGTCCATGGAAATCTAATCAATGGCCACTGTAAAGAGGAATCTGCAGTCTGAGAGCTGGAGAGCAAAGGATGGCCACAGAAAGCTGTGCTCTTACTTTGCCTGTGTGCATCTGTATGTCTTCGTGTGGCATATCTGTAGGCAAGCCTATATGTTTCCTACACAAACAGGTGTTTAGCTCACACTATGTCATGCCCCTGTAGCTCTTGGTTTGGAGAATGGCAGGGAGAGGGAGAAGGCAAGAATAAGGGAAAATGGTAGTTTTAACTACGGTTTTGTGACACTTGAAATCTTTTCTTTCTCAAATTAATTAATCTTTAAGCTTCAAGAAACTTGCTCTGACCCCTCTAAGCAAACTATTTAGCATTTAAAAGAGAAGCTCATTTTTAAAGGTGTAAGCACCTCTTTTTTGGTTCTTTCCACAGAGGGTGCTAATCTCATTATCCTGTGCCATCTGAACAGTATTTAAGGCCAGAGTTCCTGTATCTCCTGGTGAATCGGAATGAATTAACCCTCCATTTGCAGCACCTTCCCAGTTTATTAAAGTTCAGCCATACTAAAGAGGTTTTTCTGAATACCTGTATAGAAAAAAAATCTTTTCAAATGACAAGTGACGTGCTCTGCCCACTGTTAGCCCTGGTAGAGGTTTAGGTGGTGTCAGAAGGAGCAGGTTGAATGAAACCCATCCTATGGCCTTCACCCACAGAAGAGGCATCCCCAACACTCAGACTTCAGCTGCGAGAGCTGACACCAGCAGTTCCACATACATACTAGGCGTGTAGGACCAAAAAGTTACCATCATAAAGGAAAGGTTATTCCAGAACTAGGAAACTTTTTTTTAAAAAATATGTCTTTTATATTTTCCTAAGCTCCTCAAAGTATGAATGACTTACCTTTTCTCCCTGCATGCAGGAAGGCAGGCATTTGGTATGATTTAGCATCAACAACACATGTATGCGTGTGTGTAAGTAAGTAGAGGGGCAAACACCTGGTATTTCTCTCAAGTGTCTTAAGCAACTGCACACAGATCACTGGAGAGCCTTGGAGCTGCCTGTGTTTCTAGGTTATATTAATCGACTCATCAGCAAGTTTGGAACCCATTCTACCTGCGACATAGAAGAGGGCACTGGTGGCTCACATATCTTGGTAAAATGAAAGGCATCAGATATTCCTCTAACAGAGAACGTTATTGAAACAGCAGACTTTATGTCTGTTTTGGACAATGGCTATAATGATGATTCAAGGCACTCAAAATAAGCACCGCTTTCCTCATCTGGGTAGGTGGTTATGCTGGTTGATTTGGGTTTGTCAGTGATGAAATGTCAAGTAATATGAATATGACTATTAAACAGGCTCCTGAAATATATTTTGACAGAAGTTTAGGGATACCCCGCCATGCACATACACACCATAACATAGATATAACCACACATATACATATTATATATAATGATACATGTCCACATATATAACCACACAGAAATACATGATCACGTTACATAACTACCCTCCAGCATTAATTACCCTCCCACTTTGTTCTTCCGTGATCAAACTTTTACTCAAGAAAGGACCTGATAAATTAAGTTACAATTAAGATGTAGAGGACTGAGTGGGCTGCTGGCTGATGGCATTTTCAGGCGTTAGTTAACGAGTTGGTAACTGCTTTGCAGGCTGGGAGATCTGGGCTCCTGGTGCCACAGGAGAGTACACCCCTGCTCCCTGGTGGTAAGAGCCAGCAGATGGCAATGCTTTCTTTTGAGAGCGTGCTCCTAACTAATGAGTTCACCTTGGGGTTAGGCTAAAAAAATTTTTGTTTTGTTTTGTTAAAAAATGCTCTACTCTAATATTTTTCTCAGGAATCCAGGAGGCAAAATTCTTAGTCCTGCCTGGGCACCATCTCCTGGCCTTCCTCAATCGGACACCATTTCTGAAGGTCTTTGGTTTTCTGCTCAAAGAGAAGGAACTGGCTATTGTATCCTTAAGGTTTAGTCAGAGATGTAAATGACATGGAGGAAATGAACTTACTGAGTGGTTACTTGGTATAAGGGCCTTGATGTAGGTTTCAATATTTGAGGAGGTACTAGGAACCTATCTTTATGTGAGGAACTGAAACTTAGAGGGTTAACTACTTTTTGCAAAGTCACCCAGCTAGTAATTGGGAGCCCTAGTATTCAGTTCGGTGCCCTTTTCATGACACCTTGCTTCGTTTTTCCTTGAACAGTTGCCCCTTTTCTCCTTCACCAGCAAAGAGCCTCAGACTAGCCAGGCCACAGGAAACATGTGCACTAGAGTTTTGTTGGATGACGTGGGTGCCATGTTCGAATCCTGCAATTCTCATGA